AAGACCGCGACGGCGGCTAGGAACGACCGCGATGGCGGCTAGGAACGGCCGTGACGGCGGCTAGGAACAGTCGCGACGGCTAGGAATGACCACGACAGTGGCTAGGAACGTTCGCGACGGCTAGGAACGGCAGCGAGACGGCGGCTAGGGACGGCCGCGACGGCTGCTAGGGATGGCCGCGAGACGACTAGGGACAGCCGCAACGGCTAGGAACGGTCGCGACAGCGTCTAGGAACAGCCGCGACGGCGGCTCGGAACGGGCAAGACGACAGCTAGGGATGGGCGCAACGGCTAGGGGGGGGCGTGACGGCGGCTAGGGCCTAAGGCGGAAGCGTGGGCGGGCTAGGTGGGGGGCCGAACCTACTATGATAGCGTATCAGAATTAGTAGTTGAGTAGAATAGAAGGATACAAGGGTATATAGACTAGGGGTTGTACCCTCTAAGGCACAATCCAGTATAGTCTACAGTAACTACATAAGTTACATTTGACAACACACAGCAACCTAGAAAAATGGCCAAGTCCTACACACCCCACAAAAATCGACAAATATCGGCTAAGTCCTATGGTACACACATTCCCCCTACACCCGCAACAACCCACAAATAATCGGCTAAGTCCTAGTAGCCAGAGTATCACCCTCCTCAACAAAAATTGTCTAAGTCCTCGTGTACAGACAGACATTCCCCCTCCCTCCCGCAAACATTCCCCTCGATGTCGATCCCCCCCCTCACCTCCGTTTTGATCCTCGTGCCCCCTCCGTTTCGCTTCCCCGCTCCCCTCGGGTTTTGAAATCCCTCCCCCTTCCCCCTCGACTTCAAATCCCCCCTCCCCTCCTTTCAACTTCCCCCCCTCGAGCAGTGAGCTGCCCGATTTTCACTCCATCTGGGAAATCAGAAATAGACATCCCCGCCAGGCCCCACGATTGGTTTTACGGTACCCTGATTGCTCAGTGTCCTGATAAAAAAAAAGTTTCCCTCACCCTCATAAAAATAAATCGCAGATTCATCAGTGTTGCATAGGCAAAGCTCGCTTTTCCACTAGGGTCCTGTACGGAAAAAAAAACGCTGATTTGGCGAACAAGTAGAGAAGTCTTTCACATTTTGTGTGTGTTTTGTTTCAGCTCGATTCGAAATTCGACAACTGACGTTATCAGGGTATTTTACAAGGGTACTACATACAATGGCCAATCATGACAAAGATTCTGCCACTAGTCAGGGGAGAGACAACTGTTTTTTTCTAGCAGCATTGGTTCATTTCGGAATTTCCCCCAGGCCCCCAGTTCCCCCAAAAAATCCACCACACTTTGATGGTCACGATCGAACGTGATCGTTTCGACGTTTCTCAGCTGTTCATCGTTGGTCAGTCATTAACGGCTCAGATTTGCGCGACCTGACACCACCTGCTGACACGTCTCCAGCAATCGAATGTTCTTCCAGAGACTGTGTACACCAGGGCCTGAGCTAGTTTTTTTGCCGAATGAACACCAGGGCAGCTCCCGAATGTATCGGGCTTTGAGAGGTGTGGGGTGAGATTTGGGGGAGGGATTTGGGGAGGGTGGCGAGTTTGGGCGGGGGCAAAAGTTGAGGTCATAAAAACACGGGATTTGAAGTGTTTGGTGGGAATTTGAATTTCTGGAAATTCTCGACTGGTCTTGAATTCGACCCTGATTGTGTTCTGTGAACCCTGGGAATTTCAGGGTTTCGGGTTCCTGAACACTGACAGATCAGGGTAGGGATTTTTCCAAAACACAGCCCTCGGGGTAAAAAAAAAAAAAAAAAAAATCTAGTCGACAGCTTACGGTGGTTTTTTTTTTAACGTCAGCCCTGCAGAGGGGCCCTCCGGGCCTGTCTGAACCATCAGACTAGGTTTTTGGATGTCTGACGAATCAGATAATGTAGAGATATTTTTCTGATTAATCAGATTTTCTATTATACCGGTAGAACTTCTGATCTTCACAAGAGCAACATAAATGTTTTCTATTTCAAATTACAAGACTGCATTTCATCTAGTAATTGTAGTCCTTTGGCTGCCACTACTCACCAATAGTCCGCACGGCACTCAACAGTAGTCCACCTGGCGCCACTACTCCTGTGTAGTGGGCCTCTACTCATTTAATCGATCGTACGCCTACACTCTACAATATGGGATCACGCAAAGGGCTATGGCTAAGGTTTTGGGAAGCCTTTCTATTCAGGGCACCCTCCCACCCCTACCCTTTGGCATCAGGGTATCGTGCATGGGCACCCTAGTTTATACAGGGTATTTCAAATTACGACCCTTTTCAGACAGAGTTGGAGTTAATGTTACTCTGACGAAATCTCTACCTGCTGTGGGTGTGTGGGCACAGTTTACGTCACAGCAGCGCACACGTGTAAACACTCGCGCAAAGTGAATGTGATGACAAGTGTATGAAAGTCACTGGCAAGCGATTTACGAAGCCGAGCATACAGCAAATCACTTCAGTCAGGTTTGGATGCGCCCGGCGCAACTACAGCAACGACAGACTAACACGCACACTAGCTGTGCTGCTACTAACCACTAATCAGAGTCAGATTCGAGTACTACAGAAGCTCTAACATCCCACGGCGCATCACTGTCATCATTGCTGACAACCTTGCTCTTGTGTTTTTTCTTCTTCTTCGCATGTGCTGCCGCTGCTGCTGCTGCTGCTGCCTCTGCTGGTACTGCTGCTGCCTCTGTTGCTGCTGCCTCTGCTGCTACTGCTGCTGCCTCTGCTGCTGCTGCCTCTGATGTTGCTGCCGCCGCTGCCGCATCCTTCTTCCTACGTTTGGCAGGGGGGGTAGGCAAAGTTCTCTCCTTGGCTGGGCGACGCTTCTTCTTCCTCCACCACTGCTCGATGAATTGCACATTGTACTCCAATAGCGAGATGCACATAAGGTCCGCTAGCCATGCATCGCACAGGTTCCCCCGTAGCCAAGACTTGATCACGTTCTGGCGGCTGAACCCACGCTCGCATTCAACGGTGCTAAGCGGCAGCACCGCCACCGCCACCCACAGCCGCATCAGGTTCAGGAAGGTTGTCGCCCAGTCTTCTGTCCGCAGCGTGTTCTTTAGGCAGTTGTGGAACGACTGCTCCTTGTACGAGGGGTGCTTCATCCTCGTGAATGGCAAGAGCTCTTGCTTTGCTTTCTTCCAGCTAACTCCTGCATGTGGTGGAGCGAACGGATAGCAGAATTATACATTAAGGGGGGGTATTGTTAGCATTTGATGTCGTCATATCATGTATGCACCACGAGTAAACAACAAAGATCAACAAGGGCAATGACATCACGAGTTGAACAACGTTAGCGACGCGCACACAATAACTCACCCGGCAGCGTGCACTTCGCCGTGTTGAACAGCGTTTGCAATGAGGCAAACCACTCGGCGCAGAGTCATTCGTGTTTGGCGGCACCCTCTGGATACGAGCCGGGAAATAACAGCTTCGCGCCTCTCAGCGACGCGAGGCTGGCCATCCGACTCTTGAGGTTGGCGATCAAGTCCTGTGCAAAGAGGGTGGCAAGGGCAATGCAAGATTCCAAATCACCCAGGCTCTCCTGGTCCGGCAGTGGGTCCTCGTGAAGGTCGAAGCTGTGAGTCTTCAAGTTTCCTTGCCCGTCCATGCCCTCGACAGTCACCCAGCGCTTAGACAACAGACCATGGTCCTCCAGGAATTTCTGAAGCAAGTCGCTGTCTTCTCCGAAGTTGACGCCGTAGTCAACATACCGCTGTTGGAGCTTCTCGCATATTGTCTGAATCATCGGCAGCACTCGTGTGATATCAACCTACAAGATTGACGACAGCGGGGTGAGAGTGTATCGCATAATAGGCGCAGACATTAATGTAGTTGTTACTCACCGCCCGCTTCTGGAATCTTTTGGTGAGGGCATTGAGCTCGGTCAGCACATCAGCTAAGAAGAAGAGGAAGAAGTGAAATTTGAGGCTACGCACTACCTTGTACATCTTACGATCAAACTCATGCAGAAGCAAGATTGCTGCAGGGAAAACAGCAACAAGGCGTAAAATCGCCTCACCGCGGGATAACCAACGGATATCATTTATACCCTGCAACTCGAGTTGAGTGGCGTGCAACTCGTTCTGCAGCTCCATAAACCTTCCATGCACCACGATGCTTCGACCAAGGATGTCTGCCAATGAGCGGACCACTTTGTCTACTATCCCCAAGTCAGGGAAGTTGGCAGCAGCGCCCTTGGCCGCCAAGGCCTCGCTGCGCAAGTAGGCCACGGAAACGTATAAGTCCTGAGTGGTCGAAGAGGCATATACATGATAGACCGAACGGCAACAGGATGGAAGCTACGCACTAAAAGCTATTTTAAGACTCACCGGTGGGCAATGCAGTGGCATGACACGAGGTGAGGCACGCAGAGTCGCAGCTGCGCGACAATTCCGTTGCTTGCTTCAGTCATGACGCTCGCACCGTTGGTGCTGATGCCACATATTCTTGCCATGTCGATGCCGGTGGTCTTGAGATGCGTCAGAAGGGTCAAAAGTAATGAAGATGTATCGCACTTCTCCATGGTAAGATGCGCGTAAAACTCAGTGACGACTCGAGCGTTCTTCACGAATGTCAGGTAGACCACAATGTGCTTGCCGCGGCGTCGATCGGTACTCTTGTCGAGTTCTATCCCGATGAAGGGCGAGTCTTGAATGTGCCGCATCTGCCTTGCACCGAGATAGGTGACCAGTGCCTCGGTCATTTCCCTGAACCATAGCTGAAACACACAAGGCTAAGACAAGAATGGATGAAGTAAGTGATAAATGTGTAGTGTTTTGTGGTGTAGTTTGCTCTAGCTGATTGTGGGCTATTGGGATTTGGGCAAAAGATGTGGGTTGGTTGGCTAGGTTTGATCTCGTTACCTTTCCAACCCATACAACCCCAAACCCACTACAACATCTTTGATGTTGCAGATGTGGCACTTGGGAGTGTTAGGGTTTGGTCCAGGGCGAGGGTTTGTGGTGTTTGACAATCTCATTCTCGAACTTTTCCAGATCGAACTGCTTCCCTTCTCGTTTTTACTAGGTGATTCATGGCTGCCTAGCCAAATTACCAGAATATCCCCTCACACTGATTTCGTCATAATCGGCGGCTCAGATCTTGGTTATGAACGTGCTTTACCATTCTGGAAAGTAGAGATTAAGACCTTTCCAACGCGTATAAGCTCATTTCTAGAAGTTACTTGAGCTGCACGCAATGTTCTGTTGAGATCGTCAAACTTAATCTCTAATTATTTCTCTCCAGATTTGCACGATTTCCATCAGTGGTATCAGAGCCACGGTTAGAGGACGTTCTTTCCTTCATTGGAAGAGATCTAGAGAGGCTTGAAGTGCTCCAGATCTAGGGTTTGACATGGCCCAAAAGTTGGATGGCCCTCCTAGGTTTACCGGCTCGGACTTTTCGCTATGGAGGTTCCAGTTCACACTATGGCTAGGTATTAAGGACCTAGAAAGCGTGTTGGATGGATCGGAGAAGCGACCACGAGCTGACTCTGGGGAGGCGTCTACTGGAGCAACCAGCCAAGTGGGATCCGGGGCTGGGGGAGCGTCGTTGAGTGGGGTGAAGGAAGGAGGAACTGCTGCAACTCGAACCGGAAGGTCGCAACCAAGTAGCGAGGAGTTGCTCAAAGCTCAAGAAGCATGGGATCGGAAGGATCGCCAGGCTTTTCAGTACCTGTGTTGGGCTTTGGAGGGGCAACTTGAGCTTCTTAAGATGCTGATTGACCTGAAGGGGAAGGAAGGTGCAGCGGCTGCAGCTTGGAAAAGAGTACAAGATAGGCACTTGCAGAAAGGGCTTCTAAGCGTGCTTACTTGGCGGAAGCGGTTTTACACCATGGAGCGGAACTATGGGGAGGGGGAGACCATGGTTCAGTATCTCCAGAGGGTGGATGAGAATGTGCGGGCTTTGGAGGAGCTGGATTACACGGTAGATGAGAAGGAGATCATCTATACTGCGCTCCAAGGGTTGGATCAAGCGGCTAATGAGGCATTACTACAGTACCTTCACCTCGAGCAACAGAAATGGACCAAGGTGTGGATTTGGGAGGTTCTAATTTCTGATGAGGCTCGCAAGGTTGATGCTGGAAGAGGTCTAGAAGGAGGCATGGGTGCAGCAGATAAAGCTTCCTTCAGGAAAGGCTATCAACAGCAAGGAGGTGGGGGGAAGAAGAAAGAGTTGGACAAATGCCTTGTGCCCGGATGCAACAAAAAACACTCTTGGAAGAGTTGTTGGAGTAGGCCTGAGGGATGGAAGCCTTACGGCTACTCTGGAGAGGCCCCACCAGTGACCAAACCTGATTGGGTGGAGAAAAGGATGAAGAAGGGGCTCTGGAATAAGAAGGGCAGCAAGGGAGCAACGGCCGCAGCTGCTAAGGATGAGAAGGGGAAGGGCCAAGACGACTCCTCCGATGATGGTTTCTCGTTTCTCATGCTAGGGCAGGATGCAGCTCTCGCTGGTCGTGCATTGGCTGATCCCAACTTCCTGGTTCTAGACTCTGGAGCAACATCTGGGATGCTTCCTCGCCGTGATCTCTTCACCTCCTACCATCCTCTCCCACCAAATTTGAGGAACGTGATTGTTGGGAGCGGAGATTTGCTGCAAGCAATTGGCATCGGCACGATCACCATTAAGGGGAAGGAGGGGGAGCTAGTGGGTGTGAAGGGGGTCCTTCACGTCCCTGGTTTGGCTGCAAACCTCCTTTCATGCTCGCAG